TTTAGGCTACCTTGGTCTGAGCTGGCTGGCAAAGTCTCTCTTAGGCCATTCAGGCAAAGCAGAGCCTGTAGTTTCTGGGCAAGTGGCTATCCCTATCCCCTTCCACAAATAATATAATACATGTGTAAGATCTGCATATTGATGAAAGACTGGAGGAAAACTGTCCCGGTAGTATGACAAAAAGGATTATCCAGCAGAAACGGGTGGGGGGAGATTTTGTTACAATCAATATTTACAATTAGACTTTAATTAGCATTAATTATATTTTAGAATTTAGCTGCATATATTTGATACTGCAGAAGGTTTTTTTCATAGACATAATCCAAATGGTTAACGTGAAGAAGAGAAATGACATCCAAACAAGGCATAATAAGAACTTCATGAAACACATTTATTGCAGTAGGTAATCTGGCGTATGTCATTTGCTTTTACTTGGCTGAATAACACAGGATGTATAAACCTGCCAACGAATGCATTGATTTGTTTGCGGTGCTTAATGTTGAAGGTTGAGGCTCCGTGCATTGAATCAATGGGACCCTAAATTAAACCATTCCTCACTACCTGAAAAGCACAGATCAATCTTTTTTCTTTTCAACTTATAATTCCTGACACAGTTTGTCTCACTCTGAGTCAGCATTTTCATGTTCAAGTTAACCTGCAGACTAGAACAAAAAGAAAAAGTATTGAATTTTATGTCACTGGAGAAATGCTGATAAAGCATAAGTGTGCAACAGATTTAACGTTATACTTGGCTCTATCTATCTATCTATCTATCATTATTATTATTTATATTGCACCAAATTATTCCACCGCGCTTTACAATCTTATGGAGGGGGAAATTTAACATTAAATGAGACAATTGCAAAATGATACAGGAACAAGATAGATTAGGACCCTGACGAGACGAGCTTATCTATCTATCTATCCATCTATCCATCTATCTATCTATCTATCCATCTATCTATCTATCTATCCATCTATCTATCCATCTATCTATCCATCTATCTATCTATCTATCTATCTATCTATCTATCTATCTCTCTCTCTGTCTGTCTGTCTGTCTGTCTCTATCTATCTGTCTATATCTATCTATCTATCTATCTGCCTTTTTGGTCTGCTTGTCTCTCTCTTTTTATCTATCTGTCCATCTATCTGCCTGTCCATCCAATTAAAATATAGATGTCTGACAGCTTTTAATCTTTTTCAGGTATCACCTGAATCCTTCTCTCAGCTTACCTCCTTCCATCAGGCTTTCTGCTAGTCTCCAGTCCTTTAATAAACCCTTAAAACACCATTAGGCAAGCCTGTCATCACCTTGGGTAATTTCCTTTTTAACTTTGATTCATTTATATTGGGAATGTTAGTAATATGCTTACAAATCCATTACAATCCATTACATTTAAAGGACCACTGCAAACACCACAACTATTTCAGTGTGCTATAGTGGTTAAGACGCCAGTTGTGCCATAGGCCCTGTCACGGAAAGGGTACATAATTCATTGTTGCACTATAGAATATTGCTATTTAATGTAACTTGTGTAATGCATACATTAATTGGCCACTTGGTAGAGGACATATCTCAGAAAGGGTTAATGCAATTTATATAGGAATGTGATAGAGGTCAGATGGTTTACAACATGAATTGCTCCTTTGACCAATCAAGGCTCTGCAAAGTGTGACATTTTACACTTGCGCTGCCAGCATGTCTAGTTTTAATGCAAACTAACTGACTTCGAACATATGGCCTGTAACTCTTAATAGATAGTGGATTCCTTGAAATGTTAATTAGCATATGAAAGGACCCTTGTGTCCCAGTGTCAGATCAGTCTCATCTCCAAAACATGAATAATAACCCACAGATTAATAATTAGGCCTCATTTTGTGCATATTTAGGATGGGACAAGCACACTTTTCTAAAAAGTCTAGACATGGTTCACGGGACTTAAGCTGTTTGGAAGGGATTGTGATGTCCGCTATATTAGGTCACAAGTAAGCAGTGTAAAATATATATGAAAAGGAAAAATGGTAACAAATGATAGAGGCAATTATTATTTCTGTATAGTGATCCTAATTTATTAGAATTTCATGCGATAGAGAGAGTACAGCCAGATTGGAGGGGAGGAGATTTTATTAAGAAACTTGGCCAAAGAGAAATGCAATGGATTTTTAATTTAAATACTATGCAGCCCAATGGACTCAATGATGACTTCAAACTTTGCCATTTTTTAACATAATGTGTTCTTTTTTTATATAAGTATTACATACATATTTTACAAATTTTATATATTTTAATGATAATACACTTTTTATTGGGAGTATACATATGTTTTTTATATATGCATTATATACATATTTTTTACATTTTTATCGAGGTCATCATTGGGCTTGCTATCCCTTTTATTTATATTTATGCTTATTACATGTTGTAATTTGTGAGATCAGCTCTAATTAATTAACTCTTATGGACCTTCTACCTCTATCTCTATTCCTTTTGTGAATTAGCACTTTTAAAATTTAAAAATTTGTATATACTTATGCTTATCATATGTTGTAATCTGTACAACTAGTTCTAATCAATTGACTTTTTTTGGATCTTCTATTTCTTCTTGTGAATTAGCACTTTAATAAGATCAGTTTGAATTATGTGCTCTAAATATGTATAAATATAATATATGATACGTAATTATCTTTTTTGTTTTCAAAATGCTTTTATGCATATCGTTCACAACGAATTTATACACAAAGAGGGCGAAGGGGACGACAGAGACAGAGATGGGTAGATGAAGTCACTGAAGCCACGAACATGAAGTTGTTGGAGCTCAGTGGGGCAGTGACTGACAGATGTACCTGGCATGCTATGGTCCATATGGGCCCACATCTAAGATGGATGCCTCAGCCACATGTTCCGGTTTGAGATGCGTCACGTGACGTTCTGGGTCACATGGGACGCGCCGAAACCGGAAGCTTGACGGCCACCAATAGAAACGACTACACAAGGCAGTAAGCTGATTGGATAACAAGGAAGATTGAAGCACCAACCAAATTGGAGGACACGATATTTAAACCACCGCAAGGAAGGAACTTTTTACCGATTGAAAAAGCTGTCAGGATACAGCGAAACGCGTCTCGGCCAGGAGCAAGGACTTAGCATTGACTTTTTATTCATTCTTTTTTTCTTTTTCATTATATAATTTAGTTCACTTTTTTATTTGTATTATATTTTAATGAATACATTTTGCTAAATATTGAGGTCCTTCTCCCATCTTTTCTGCTGCTAAAAGAAGGGTGGTAGCCTCCTTAAAGGCACAGATACCTACATACTAGGAGCCAGGTATAAGGGCTTCCTACCAGGTGAGAAGCCATTTATTTAAATATTCACCATTGATTAGTGTGATTTACTACACAAGGACCTCTCTTTCTTTTACTTCCTTTATGGACCATAGAAGACTATTGGGTATTGTGTACACACACGCCGTTGTGATCTGAGCCTATCCAAATTGGCTCAGCTACATGTAAGTGGGTCTATATATTTACTTATTGTGTTTGTTACCTAGCGTTACTTGCACCATTTGTATTTATATTTGTTACAGATTCACTGTTCCTTTTCTCTGTACATTTGTACATATACCCATATGGGTAAGTTGATAATTATTTGAGCGCTCCACATATACACCAGTGGTGGTTTTTTCTAATTTCCTACACTGAGTGTTCACCTTGTTCAATTATTATTTCTGTGGCAAGCACAGAAGAGGAGATAAAACCAAAAGTTTCTATTGATGTTGATTGATGTTGGTCTATAACACAACTATACCACTTATAGTTTCTATAGAGACACCTTATCTCCACCTCTGGGCCTGGCTTGGAAACTTGAAATGAATCCAGAGGGTATATATCACGTGCTATGTAAATGTCTATTGTACTTGCTTGGGACCAAAATCTAATTTTGAGTGATTCCCCATCTTTCCGTGCCAGAGAACGCCTGGGCAGAAGTTTTCCTTTAAAATCTGAGTAAGTAATTAGGATTACTGTTAATTTTTTTGTTTTGTTTTTATCTGTTATTGTCTTGTTCACAGTTTACTGGACAAAGCCCAAGATGCAGAGGAGTGCTGAAGGCAATGGACCAGGTTCACAGTACAAAAGGATCAGATGAAGAGAGTAGTAGGGGGAGCCAAAGGTCAGGACAGGCGGCACAGGTTCAGAAGCGATTATACAGGCAAAGGTCAAAATCAGGATACAACAGGAAGGTCTTTACACGATCAGGAGCACAGTACAACTGAACAAAGAGTGAAGGGAGTGTGTGGTTTAAATAGGGAGAGTGGGTGGTCTTGTCTATTGAGGTTCCTCCCTGGTCTCCACCTCCTGTAGTTTTTAAAGGCTCTGTTTCGGCGGGTGCACACCCTTTTATTCTCCTGAAGCTCTATCTCCTGTGTTGTTGCATGTGGAAGCAGCGACATTCTCACAAACAGAGTTCTGTCTTGCTGTGTTTCGTAACCGGTGTCTGTACGTAAGGAGTTCTGTCTTCTGTATTGCTGTGTTCAATAAGTGATGTTCACATGAACAGAGTTCTGTTCTTGCTGTGTTCGGTAATAGGCGTCCGTACGAACAGAGTGCTGCCTCTTGTGTTGGTAAGTGGTGTTCGCACGAACAGAGGTGGCGTTCGTATGAACGTGAGTGGTCGACTTGGGTGGTTGAGCCAGCCGCGCTGTCTGGAGGGTCGTGCGTCAACACGGCATCCTCACGGATTGGGAGAGACGCGGCGTGGGTGCATGAGGTAGGTAAGTGTGGGAGTGAGGTCCTGATAGTTATTGGTGTAACTAATTTGTTTGTCATCTATTTTTTGTTTGCACTGTGACTATTTTTGTTCATAATAAATATTCCTTTATTAAGTCCTGCCTTTGTCTGGTATATAATCACTTTACCTGGAGAGACCAATATATTAGAGTTTTACAATTGTATTTAGTGTTTTATTCTAATTTACTTGGAGGACCAAGACACCCCATTTATAAATAGTTTTGTTGGTGGCAGCGTTAAAATAGTAATATTTATATTATTATGGTTAAGTGTAGGTGGTGTTAAGGAGGATTTTTATCACTATTTCCAGTCTAGCGAGACAAATAGTGAACGTTAAGCCTTTCACTACCAGCACTAAGTTACACACATCACTGGAGTAGGGTGCGTTCATGACAGGCCTTACAATGTAAGTTGTCAAACTATTTTAGAACCGTTTGGCTTTTTACCTTGGGTCTGCTGTCAGCATGGGCCCAGCAGACAGTGCACATAATTAAGCATATTGTTAAATGGACATGACAGGATCACAAAAGATCCTGAAGCACAGTGCAGCCTTCAGCATCCTTTGCTGCTTCCATTATGGGTGCTCTGGTGCTTAAACACCTTCAGTCAACCATGTAGGATGTCCAAGTCAGAAATATTGTGGCCTGTTGTTTTCACTGATTGTTTCTGAAATTAAGGTTTCTGTTCCTGCAGAAAATACCTGACTCATACGCATAACTAGAGATTGTTTCTAATGGATATGATGCTAGTTTACATTTTTTTGCCCTGGGATTACATTTGCATATCCAAGGCAAATGTAGAGAAAAAATATTTACTATCCTCCATAATTATGTAGTCATGAAATTAAAAGACGTTTGCTTCTGGGGAGAAAAGCTATGGCAAGCTTGGACAAGCTGGTAAAAATGAAAGATATTACACTGTCAACAAAGGTCTGCATAGTCAGAACTATGGTATTCTCAGTAGTAACATACAGATGTGAGAGCTGGACTATAAAGAAGGCTGAGCGTCGTAGAATTGATGCCTTTAAACTGTGGTGTTGGCGAAAACTGCTTAGAATCCCATGGATTGCAAGAAGATTTAATACATTTGTAATACAGGAAATCAAGACAAACTGTTCACTGGAAGCTATGATCATGAGGCTGAAGCTCAAATATTGTGGCCATATAATGAGAAGGCAGGATTTGCTAGAGATGACTCTGATGTTGGGAAAGATTGAAGGCACATGAAGAAGGGGACGACAGAGACAGAGATGGGTAGATGAAGTCACTGAAGCCACGAACATGAAGTTGTTGGAGCTCAGTGGGGCAGTGACTGACAGATGTACCTGGCATGCTATGGTCCATATGGTCACAGAGAGTTGGACACGACTGAACAACTAAACAACAACAACAATAATTCACCAACTTGTCTCCAAACTCATCTGTAGGAGTTTAAATTCATAATCTGACACTATCTGACACTCAGGAATAATTTCTCCAAAAATTCACAAGCTATTTCCCCAATATAGGAAGCAGGTGGGTTGGGTGGATGAACGTTGAGGGCCTAAGTTGAGGCCATAACTCTCATAGCACTGCAACATCTAACCTCCAGACAGGTCTTTCCTGGATTTTAGTGTGTCATACTGCATCCACCTGGTCTATTTGGGGAGCAATAAACAATAGCAGTTGATCTGCTTATGATAGAAATGTAGGAAGGCATTGTCTGGTAACACTCCATATACTAAAGTAAAGCTGTAAGCAGGGAACACGATGTGTATTCCTGACACTATAGGTGTGAAAACACAGTTTAGACTTCTTACCCCACTTGCCACCAATGTAAAGGGCAGTTTAATCACCTTTTTCCAGCACCGTGCAGATCTTGTTGCGGCTGGCCCAGCCCAAGCTCCCTCTTCTTGTCTGAGATCATTAATTTTGATGATCTCAGCCAATTCAATGCTTACTTGTGAAAAGGCATTGAAAGACTATTGCACATGCACAGCAAATCGCCACACTGCACCAATCAGCAAATCCTCATAGAGATGCATTGAACCAATGCATGTCTATGAGAAACATTTAGCATCTCAATGCAGAGCGTGGAGACGTTGAACATCAGACCCAGGAAGCATCTCTAGTGGCTGTCTGAGTGACAACCAGGTGTTACTCGGCAGCAATGTAAACACTGGAGAGTTTACAGTAATATACAATACACATGACAACTACAACATTAAGCTATAGTTGTTCTGGTGACTACTGTGTCCCTTTAAAATCCATTTCATTTTTAAAATGGAGAAAATGGTATTTCCTATTTAAAATAGCTAGATTCCCAATTTTGTGTACGATTAGTGGTATGGCGAATGCTGAATGACTCAAGGACTTTGCAATTTCCACTCAATTTGCTTTAAACTCCTGCATAGACTTAAAATGTTATTACTTCTTTTAAATATATGCAATGAGCTGGTGTATTTGATTAAAGTTGAATTGGATTGGAGTTTTCTAAAACCTTTGTAATAGAAATTTAAAGACTTCTCTGTCTAATGACCCACAACATTTTTTTTTATCTTTCTTAGAAAAAAAAGATACAGAATATTCTCTCCCTCTCAACTAAAAATCTCTAATGATCACTTGTAATATATAAATGGATGAAGTCATTTAAAAATAATTGAAATTATCTTTTTATGGATGTGAAATTAAAATTATAGCTTTTTAGTTAGAGCAAATAACTCATTTAGATTTTTTTTAAAGTTTTTGACATACTTGAAAAACTACATATATCCATACATCTATCCAATGCATATATATAGTTTGGCAGGTTAAAGATCAGGAAAGAGAGGGGTGAGGGTGGTGTCAGGAATGGGTATGGCAATAATGACACACACACCACTATTGACATGCCCACCTGTAATATACTCCAGGATCATAAATTGCCAGTAAGGTAGCGAATCAGACTTGTCCATATGCTGAGCACTTCTGATGCTCTTGCGTATGCCCTTAAATGCTCTTTATTTCATCTCAAGTGCATTCAAAGAATTTTTTAAGGAATTCTTAAAGCACCATAACCACTGCATTCCCTTTTATAAATTACCAGCACATCACAATTTGTTTATTGATAACCAGGCATACATAAAGATACATTTTATTTTCACAATTCCTTTCTTCAACCCGATAAAGTGCAGTCAAAGTTCCTACAGGCAGAGACCTACATCTGGCACAGGAAAGACCCTGCAGAAGGACATACAAGGAAACACTTGGTTGACACACCCCTTGCCCATACTGTGCCCTGACAGAAGGACAGAACACCATAAGACTGTATAGAGAATAATGATTTACCGTGAGCAGAGTGAATCTAAGAACATTAAGAACACAGTATTATGTTCTGCACGCGTAACGTCTGGAACCGGAGTCCGATATAAACCATCTGAGTTCATCTGACGTTTGATTAATACGGTTATGCAAGTCTAATGTCAGAGCCCATTTTTAAAAATAGTGTTTAAAATTAAAGAAATTGCTGATACCTCCAAGATAAAAGCTTTTCCTTTTTTCTTCATTGATAAGATAAATTATTGAATGGATATGAATATCAAAAAGTGTATAAAATCACAAAAACATCACCCTGAAACAAGTTAAAGACATCTAAAAAAAGATAGTGCTTTTATTTGATATTTCCGTTCCTTTCACACTTGCCATTTACTGACTTCTTCTAGAAATAAATATATATTTTTTTAAGAAAAAAGCATTTTCCATCATTATACTAAATGATTAAATAAGGATAGATTATGGATTATGAGATGTCTTTACTATTTCTATATTCACTGCTGTAAGTGTATCTGTCAGTGATTGTAATTAAATAAAAAGCAATGCCTAGTGTCACTAGTCTGTTCTGTAATGGTATCTGGCATGTATGACGTCATACCCTGAGACTAAAAGCATGACTGTGGAGGGATCTTTTAATTCATTCACAAATTCTATCAATGATTGAGAAGAGTCCCTCGCAAACTCTCATCTTCTCAAATTGCACTCCTTTTTGATGGCTAAATGTCTCAATGTTGTGATGGCAAAAGTATTTCCAAACACCAGCTCAAAAAACAGAAAATATTGTTGTGCTCAAATTTTATTTGATCAGGTACTGTGAACATACAATCTTGCTGTGTTTTATTTTAATGGCTTTTGTTAATAAATATTTGCCTGACTACATTTTACTATGGTCTCACTTAAAGGACCACTATAGTGCCAGGAAAACATACTCGTTTTCCTGGCACTATAGTGCCCTGAGGGTGCCCCCACCCTCAGGGTCCCCCTCCCGCCGGGCTGGATGGCGAGGAAAGGGGTTAAAACTTACCTTTCTCCAGCGCTGGGCGGGGAGCTCTCCTCCTCCTCTCCGCCTCCTCTCCTCCCTTTCGGCTGAATGCGCACGAGCGGCAGGAGCTGCGCTCGCATTCAGCCGGTCGCATAGGAAAGCATTTACAATGCTATCCTATGGATGCTTGCGTGCTCTCACTGTAATTTTCACAGTGAGAATCACGCAAGCGCCTCTAGTGGCTGTCAATGAGACAGCCACTAGAGGCTTTGGGGGAAGGATTAACCCATTTGTAAACATAGTAGTTTCTCTGAAACTGCTATATTTATTAAAAAAAAATGGGTTAACCCTAGCTGGACCAGGCACCCAGACTACTTCATTAAGCTGAAGTGGTCTGGGTGCCTAGAGTGGTCCTTTAACTAAACTGCTGAAAAGATCCACCACCACCATCACCATCATATTCTATTGTGTTCCTCCTCCCATAAAAAAACTACAGACAACAGACTGATTTCAGATAGAATGTATAACTCTTATTCCAAGTCCACTCTGCAGTGCAAGCAGTGTGACCACTAAGTAAACTTGCACATTCACTTTCAAAAAAAGTAACGATTCACCTAAATTTTTGGCGATCAGTGATTTGTACAAATTCCACAACTCTGAAAAGTCATATGGAAACATCATAAAACAAACTAAATGGGTAATGAACAAACCATATTTTTTTTTTTTTTTTGGATGTGGCAGCTGGACAGCCCTTGCTAGCATGCCATCACATTAAAATGTTAAATTAAAAATAAAAATGCTTGTGGAGGTCAATATGACACCTATATTAGCTGGGCTGGATTTAACCTTGCTGGATCTATCTGACTGGGTGAATAGGGAAATACGATGAGTTCGTAGTATGTGGCTGGTTGGGTGGCTGAATGGCAATGTGTATGTAAGAGTATATTTGTGTAGTGTGTTAGTGAATGCATGTGAATGATGGGCGTATTTGTGTAAAGTGCTATGGTGTAAATTTCGTGGTGTGTTTTTATATAGCTATACACAAAAAATAAGTCCTGCGCTCAGACTCCTACTACTTATACTACTTCCAAAGAAAAAAGTTACTTGCACACTATCCAAATCACTTTGCATATTTAAATAAATGGAGGTTTTTAGC